GAATCAGCAGACAAATGGTACTATAGATATTCGATAAGAAAACTGCCGTTCACAAATATTTATTGGATACTTAAACAATATCAGTATCGATTTATTACAGACAAGTATTTGCGGATTAAAGAGATCGTTTTAAGAATGATTTGCAAGTATATAGAGTTTTCTTTTCGAAATTTGTATTTTTGATCCAAATTAATTGCTATCTTCATGAAAACAAAAAACATTGTTTATCAACTTAACAGTTGTTAGAGATAATCTCTTATTTTGTGATTTAGTAAGTATCTTATTATATAAAAGCTATGTTAATCCGTATGGCGAAGTAGCGAAGCATTCAACAAATCTGGGATGAACACGGTTTAAATGGTTAAATTTCAATTTAAATACGGCTCGTACGTCTTATTAAAATGATTGATACAATACACATAAGACAATGAAACAGGCTCTATTCTATGTAAGTTCTTTCATAATTTGTTCGGAATCTGCTTACCAAATTTGAATTTGTAAATAAGGAATACTAAAATCTGAGTAATTTATGGAATATTTCACTCTATTGATATTCATGACTATATATTGATTCTTCACAAAATGTTAGAGGGTACATTTTGTGAGAAAGACTATCTGTAGTAATATTCTTTACCTTCAATTTGCTTATAACTAACAAATTGGTTTAATGCTTAATATGTAATATCATCTATGAAACGTTTGAAAAAGATAAAAACATTTTTCAATAAATGTTATATTTATGATATTTTTTCAGTGGCGGAAATTTACAGCTATTGTTTGATAGTATTTTATATAAATAGGTGTTTGGTAAGAATCGATAAAGTTGAAGACTTTAAACATTTACCCTGCTGAATCCGAAACCTTGTCATTAGATTGATATAGAGCCTGGTCAGCCTGTACATGTACGTCCGTACAATCTTGACATCAGACTGTTTACTATTATCTGACTTACTTTACGTTTTCATCTTGATATCTCCAAAGTTGAAATGGAACGTTACAAAAAATGGAAAATGAGAAGGTCCGTTTAAGAAATTCAGCAGGCAAAAAGTTATAAATCTACTGTTCCTCTGCAAATTGTTTAAACATATGTTTGAATTTAATTAGTAGAATCATTCTAAAATACCTGTACTAAAATGTTAGGCTTGTGTATTTTCTTACAAGAAAATGCAAGCATGAATTCAATGCTGACTTTAAATATTAGCATCATATATTGTTCGGAAACATCTTTTATTGTTTACGAAAACTATTCATGTGTGTACAATAACAGAGACATTCTCCATTACAACTTTTAAGAATCGACTATAAGCTTATTGAAGCAACATCATTTCACCGTTATCAAATTTCATATTTGTTGCACTAGAAATAGCTTTATATCCTTTTATCAATTTCATATGTAAATGTTAAAGATATATAATAACCTCTCTTAATGGTGAAATTATTTTTGAGTATTTTTGTAATCATATTTCTGTTCAATGTATTGGTATATGTTATTTGAAAACATATAGCAACTTTAACTTAATACTCGATGTGTACTTCAACACTGACCAACGCCATTGGTTAAAGGAAATGTTTTAAGACCAGCTTATTTATCTTTAACATACTAATATATATTTTGACATTTGATTACGTTTTAGATTTCAAAGATTTACAATTATACTGAATCAACACGAATGAGGATGTAGTGTGATCAATTGAGACACCAAATTACTTTTTATGTTTCATTTGTTTTTCTTTGATCTTTTTATCTTACGTGTGTTATCATTAAACGGTAAAACATCTATATTGAACTTTGCAGTGTTATTGTTCTCAAGAATCATGTCAACAGGCGGATATTTCATCAATGTGATATAATTGATATCATGTCTCATTACTTTACAATTCACAGCGCTGTTGTTTCCTTATTAAGTGTATGATCAAAGGCGATATAAACGAACTGCTTTGAAACGTCATATACTCGTACAAAGTGATAATTATGTTTTTAAAGATATGTATTTCTTATGAATACATGGTGCGTGCACTGATTCATAGCTTTTAAATGTTAAACCCTTACTTCAAATAGCAGCATAATATTTTGTTCTAGAAAATTTTATTCCTTTAACTCATACTTTTTATGCGTGCTGAATTACAGAATCATTCTATTTTACAATTCTTTCAAGATGCAACGATTGGATTATAAAAATAACGTAGTTTAAAAAGATAAAGCTTTATACCCTTTTAGTGAAATATAATGTACTTAAACACTACCCAGAATAACAAAAGACAAGTCTGTACATTTTTAGCTAAGTGTGGGTAGAACTTAGAATTCTGAATGGTTGAAAATGTGAAAAAAATAAGGATTTTAAAAGTTGGAAAAGAATGATGGGATTGAAATTAAAAGATAACAATTACAACATTTTGTTACTGAAATACACTGAACCACTCTAACTCAATGGTCAGACGCTATTTGAAATGACCCTTAGAGCAAGTTAAATAGTCAAGTTAAATAGTCATAGATTAAGGATTCAATAGTCTTTGTTAATCTGAATGAACAGCAAAGTAAACACTATCTATCACAGATCTGACATGTGTATGTATCAAAGCAAACGGAAAACGTTATTTACACAATGTGTTTTTAATTTATCTGTTTTATTAGATTCAAATGGTGTTTGACGCACGTTCTTATCAATTGTTTGTTGTTTCAGGAATAGAATTGTTAAATAGGGTTTTTAATTCACGCCTTCTCAGTTAAAAGTTACAAAACAGCTGTTATGCTTAATTTGTTGAGGAAGCCCTGTGCCGCCAACATTATTTCAGGCACAACCGAGCCTTTAGTAGGAATCATTGACTAAGTGCAAAACTAGTTTTTAACATTGCTTAAAAAATTAGCTCATATATCAGCTTTAATTGAAACGAAATTCATTGAGTTTGTGGTACATGCGACGTAAATTACATTTTTTATCAATGCCTTATACATTTAGTAGTATTATCTAACTTCAAGTAAATTGACTCAGATAGAATACAGTGTATGTTAAAAATATCTAGGCGCTTATTTGCGCTTCTCTTATTACATTTGTTACATCTAAATTGTATTGTGTTAAATTTGTTTTTTTATATCGCAGATTTTCAAAAATAACCCAAATATCTGCAATTACAAAAGACTTTAATACGAAGAGAACAATTGTAATTTGAATAAAATAAGAACAATAAAATATTTATAAGTCAGGTTCCACATTAATATCTAACCAGTTTAGATTAAGGTCTATACACGTTCCTGAATAGGTATAACCACTATACATACCAATGTTTCTGTATTTCATAGAATAATCTTACTAATATTGATATTCATGAATAAATCTCGATTGATTGCCAAAATAGTCCGAGACTGAATTCTTGGTGAAAGAGATTTACATTGAGATGCAAATGTATTTGAAATAAGATTGGATACTTATTTTATAACTAATAACTGATTGTTTAGCCGAGCACACAATATATATTGTGATACCAGAAGGGTCTGTTCAGAAAGGAACAAAGAAATATGTATACGATGTTTATTATTTATTCTAAAACCGATATTGCAAGCATTTATTGGACACACGTAATCTCCTTTCTTGTCCTGATTAATTTTATTTAAAGGAGGTTGCTTAAGATAAAAATGAAAAGTTTGAAGAGATATGAAGATTGCCCAGGCCTTTGTAGTATTTCATACACGCAAGCATGTTTGTATATTCAGAAGCTACATGTTCATATATTTCAATAGTTCTGTAATATAACAAAAACAAACGAAATTGTACTCTAGTTACTCCCATACAGCGTGTATCGTTTATATGTAAAGTAATCCCTTTCGATAATTATATTTCAAGCCGAAAAGGAAATGAAAAAATGGCAATAAGTTTAAAATAAAGAAATTTAAACACTATTATCACAGAAATAATGAGTATCTGCTCAATTTTAATTGTTTGCAAAGATGAATGGATAATTTCAACTTAATATTGCAATGTTTACTTATATTTATTATACAAGCATTGCATGTCTAAGAGATTATTTACGCGTAGTTTAAATATTAATCTGTAGCGTAAACAAATAAAATAAATTTATCTGATATCAATTTCTAAAAGCATGTAAATATAATTTCTGATTTTAATGATTATTGTTTAAGAACCTTACAATTAAAAGTAAAATTATTAAGTAAAATTGTGTTAGTTATGTCAGTATTAAACTATGAAAGTGTGTAATGAATGTTATATACCTGATATGATATTCAGTTTGAGTCGTTATTCATGTATTTTTCTCTGTTTGATGAAACATAGTACAAATGGAATATTTGAAATGTCGCAAAGATAGCGATATTTCTGTTTACATTTTTGATAATTAAAACTTATTAAATCATGAACTGCATAAAACACGTCTGACACCAGGAAACGAATATATTTTGTCGGAGTCTCTATTTGATTTACTTTTTTCGCACACAAAATAGTTTAAACATGTACAGTAAAGCTACACTTAGATAATTTCAGTTCGGCATTATAAGACATTCTTCGGTTATTTCTCGGTTATCTATTACAAAACGTAAGAGTAAAAGGTATTACAATCAATCATCATACATATAAATAATGTAAAAGGTATTGTACAAATTAATTCAAAATTTTCCAGAAAGATCTTTTTCAATGTTTATCTTTTGACATGTGGGGGATTAAAAAAGTTGCTTGTTTGTGCTTCAAATCCTGACAGACTTGTGCCGGTTGTGATTGTTAGATCTGTACTGAAGTTTCTTTACGATACTTGATTTAGTCTGACCTGATTGTAGAACCTGGTGCTGTGTTCTGTAAGAATACAAAATTTAAGCAAAACAAAATCAAACATAATGGAAGAAATTAATAAATGTTAAAAAGAGTTACTAATTTCTTACTCATCCAATGATATTTGACAAAGAATACTGCTAATATTGACACTCTGCAGTGAGAACACCGTAGAGGAATTGAATCTTTAGGCTAATTGTAATATATCTCAATATCGTATAAAGTCAGATATTGGCTTTTCATAGCGAGACAGCAGTATAAATAATCTCTAGTCGTATTGCCTTTTACAGACACGTTAGCGTATTCCTTGAGATTTTTCGAATAAGTGATTTCTGGAATATATGCGATGATTTATCAGGTGAGATAGTTTTATGTACAAACATTATACAAACACCTTAATCTAATATATACAATGTAGATAAGCTATTAATGTTATATAAATGAACTCAAAAATTAACATCAATAAGCAATATAAGAAGATTGTTGGTTTATTTTTTAGATTGATTTGAAATGTATAAAGTCATATTAGAACTTTATGCTTACTATGTAATGCAAATTAGTATCTCGTTTCTATAGCTAAACAATTGACTATAACATTAGAAGTAAATATCAATCGGTATTTTTATAAAATTAGTTGTAATAAAAATTACTTAAATATTTTTTTCCCATTTGATAAAATTATTCATTGAATTTTTAATAAATTAATTTTGGTGGCGCGATAGCGCTAGCTCAGTTGGTTAGACCACTGACTGTCACTCCTGAGGTTCCGGGTTCGATCCTGGGTAACACCCTTGTGATTTTTCAGAAACACTTTCAGTGTTACCCACCTACCTAGAGGCTTACTGGTACGAAACCCAGGAAATCCTCGCATGTATGAGTGCTATACAAAGACATGTAAAAAAACCCCGGGGTTATTCAAAGAGCTGGGGTGGGTTCCGGCTCCTACTATTAACTTCTCAGAGTCTGCTGAGGTAAAGGGCCCTCTGAAAAAAGTGCTTGCCTTTTTAGGTTAATTTTGCCGTCGGGCTAAAGAAAATCAATCAATCAATAAAAATCTCTTTTTAAATTTAAAAGAAAGAAACGGAAAAACGCTTTAGTGTTTCAGAAACATAAAATCAAATAAGCTGAGGTAGTATCTAAGGAAATGAAAAGATAACAAGTCGAAATCTATTTTCATACTGATTACAGAAATCTGAAAGAAAATACATGTATCTGCTGATATTATTTACGACATAATTTTATGTTCGTTGGAAAAGAAGAAAAATCCCGATTTCAGGAGAATAAGTACAGGGTCACACTGTTTTTGAGCCCTCTGTAGATATTTAAGCGAAATTAACCAAGTTCCACATTTCATTAATGTATCAGCCATCACCATAGTAGTTGACCTATTCGTTTTTGTCTGATATACTAATGAATTTTGGCCAATATTTTTACCTTAAAACAAAACCTACATTCTAAACACTGCTTCCGATTTATGAAATCATATCTCTTATTAATTAATCATTACATAATATTTGACCACACTTTTGTATTTTTGTAGGAAGTAGATTACAAAATGTATACACTGTTGTAAATTTTGTCTCACAACTGTCAAATACAGATGCTTACTCCTTTCACATCGTTCAGCAAATGGGTTTGGCATTTCAGTCTTGATATATATAATTTATGTTAAAAATGGTGCTAGTCTCAGTTATTTTTAGACTAAATGTCCATACTTAAACGATAATACTATATTCATAACACTGACTTGAAGCATTTAAAAGTATAGTCATTTTATAACTTCTATGTTTGCAATCTGCATTATTCTAGTGCACAAGGCAGTCTATAAATGGGTTTTCCTTTTTTTGCTTGTTATATACATAATGTTTACGGTTATAGATAGAATATGATACTAGTAATCTGAGAAAAAGACACATATTACCATATCATTTTACTTAATGCCGTGTTGTATTTAATCCGAACATTAATAATAAATACAAAACCATACAAATATATCACACATCAGTATTGTATTCTGATAGGACATCATAAAACCACTGCTTAATCAAATAATGTTTCTATATTATAAACAGTGGTTTTGCAATCAAAATTAAAACAGAAAACAACTTATGTCTTGTTTCATGGTCATACTGCAATTTTTACGGTATTTTACAAACCCAGCAGTAAGAATTTCACTGTCAATATGAATTGTAATGCGTATGTGTATTAGTGTTGTTGATGTTGCCGGGAGTCATATTTGATATAGATAGTTAGATAAATGTTATTACAGCGTTGACCTTTTAATCATGTTTTATGCTAGTTGACAAATTAATTGTTTCTATTATATATAAAATAGTAGGGAATGTATTTATCTTAAGGAATGACTTGAATCCATGAAATATGTATATCATAGCAAACAGCGCGTTCTTCAAGAAGACAAAAATAAGTGAGGATTGTGTTCGGTATCAATGTTGAATTAACTGGAAAATAGCCAAATTTACGTGTTTCATATGCCAAAAACAATGATAAAAGATTTCAATAGCCTGGACGAGAGTAAGAACAATCTTAACAAAAAGTTGAATGTACAAAATAATGTAAACTTAGGATGCAATAGTGCATTTTATAATTTAATTTCATTTTTTTGTCTGGATATTTTTGTCAATAGATTTCCAGATAAAAAGAAATTTAAAAGAATAAAAGATAATTAATCAATGTTTAATTCATGTACTTTCTATTATACACTTTGTGTAAGTACACATTTAAGCAGTTTGATTTATTAAAGTAAAAACAATCCCTAAAGAACGCCAAAAAAACGGCAAAATTGAAAATATTGCTAGCTCGGTTTGATTTAGCATTTACATGGACGGTATTGTAAAATGTTAGCTATTGTCCACGCCCCTAGCAACGAACATAGCAGTATTCAATATTAAAATGGTATGGCGAACTTTATGTCCATTTTAGGAAAACAATATATCAATTTAAATTGAAAAAGTAAACTTTTGAGTCTCCAGTGTAATACAAAAGATCGTTTATACTTTCATATAAAGCAAATGTTGATTCAGCTTTATTCGCAATAACGCGCCTTCTAAGTAGATTTAATTGATTTTTTCCATCAAAGTTATAAATCACAATAGCTGTCAGTTTTCCTACTTAGTTATTTGATGAACTTCTGTCATTCATAAACAACTCAACTGAGCAACAGTAATAAAATAACAAAAGATGTTCTTAGTGACGCCATTACAAAGGTGTGCGTGACATTTATGGTGTGTTCTGACGGATAATGCTGCGTTTTATTGGATTACAGCAGAAAACAAAGAAACACGCTGCCACCACTGATGTTCTATTAAGCGAATACTTTTCCAAACAGAATGAAAATAATGGAAAAAAAGAACAACAAACTAGTATATTTCTATAGGTGAGCACAACATACCTTGCATTCCTTTAAAGGTTAAAGATATTTCTTCTTAATTTTGAAACGAGTTGGACAATTAATAAATTGATACAACCACTTATGGTGTTAAGCAGAATCAGCGCAGTCTATACCGATAATGGTGGAGCCTTTAACGTAGAAGAAAACTGAAAACACGATTCAGTGAATCAAAATGGCTGACAAAGAAGATACAAAATACACATTGGACCAGACTCTTAAAGGCGAGGGCTTTTCAGTCTAATACGTCAGGATTATCAGTATCGGACAGTAAAACCCTTGCTTTGTAAGAGGCTTCTTCTTCACCTGTAAACCCCTGTTGTATTCCTGAAATTTGGACTAGTTGAGAAATATCAATATGGTCAGCTGCCACTATAACATCGGCCAGTGAGATCAAACCAACAATAGAAGCCTGAAAACAACAGTATCAAGTGCTAGACGAACATACATTGCACGCGCACAGTTACATTCTACTCTGCATTTTGAAGATCTAGGCTACATGTAAAGAAGTTGTGCATAGAAATACCGTAGACGACGTTCCATCCTCATTTGTCTGTCAAGGAAGAACACTTGCTATTGCATTTCTTAAAGTTTCAGTGAACATCAACTTATTGTCATTTCCAATTGCCTTCTTTTTGTATCGAGGAATATTTGCACGAAACATCGCACAAGATGGAAAGAGAATAATTACACTTAATTGTTTATGTCACGTTACGTTATGTCATAAAAGGCAATCTACAGACATATTGTGAAATTATGGGGAATGTTTTTTGAAATGCTACAGAAGAAGCATTCAGCATACTATTTTTTTTATCTTTCAATAGGGACATTTAAGACGACACTGCAGCTGAATTGTTCAATATGGAAAGCAGATGAATAAGACAGTATTGTGTCGCTAATATTTTTAAAAACCGCAAGCGTATTTCTGTGACAAATATGAATTTCATAGGAGATGCTTAAAATAAAAGCATATACATTTCGCGAATGTAAGAATGCACAGAACAGAATAGAAAAGAACACATACTTTATTTTGAATGACACAGATTACAATATACAAGTAAAATGTAATATCATGTGCACAAAGTCAGTATAGTAAACAAAATCAAAACCAAATGAGTATGGACAATTAAAAGAAGTAATATTATGTAATACGATTAGTCTTTAATTTCATTTTTGTCATATGTTTATTGCAGTAAATAGTTTTTGTCAATTTGTCAAAACATAAGTCTTTGCACGAAGATTTCGTTTTCTTAGTGAATCGGTATGACGAAAAATACCTCGTCAGAAACCCTGCTTGATCAATGACAGTTATTTCAAATTTTAAAAAAAAGTTGAACTTTTAATCAACTTACGGTTACCTAAGAATATAAAAGAATGATACTAACACTAGGTGTGACCACAGTTCTAAGTAGGATAGTTATTGTTGTGACATAAAACATCAGCAGGAAATCAATTTAAGCGGCTTTTCTAACAGTGTTCTCATCGATGTCAACACTATTTTATAATCTGTGCGACGAGAACAAATGTCAAATATCAAAAGTTAAGTATAGTTATAACACGTTTAGTTGTGTTAATTTTACAGGTTATCGTGTTTCATTTGTATATTGCAGTGATGACATTTTCAAGATGTTTGTAATCATATTAATCATTTCCAATGCAAATTGTTTATCGGTATGTAAAATGCCATTAAAAGATACCATTTTTAAAATAAGTAAAAAATAATTATTAAACCTTTAAAATGGTAGACAAAAATTCTAATTTTTCATATGCATTTATTTTCTGTGCCTATTCGTGTTCATTGTAAATTATATTACCTTGAAGGTTATTCAAAATAGTCTGTGTCTTTTTGTATACCGTTTGATAATGAAATGCTAGTTTTTATTGTAAGAAATAGAATACTTTTGTGTTGTACTTTATTTTAAAGGACATTTCATATATGAAACTATCTCTAT